GGATAAACTGATTTATTTTGAGCTCCTTCGCTCCATTTTCTCTTGGTTGTCACTGTGTACCTATTTCCTGTGTTTGTTGAATTCAGGACTGTCCTATAGCTACTGCTGTATTTTAATTTTGCTTCTTCAAAAGGTAAATTTTCATTTGCCATTATATATTTAATGCCTTTTTGTTTTTCAAACTCAGCGCACTTGTTTCGATCTAATGCTGAATGGTTTCCGAAACATAATATACAAGTGGGATCTGTTAAATCACATACATCTGAATCATGTTCCTGTCCGCACTTGCTGCATCTTTTCTTACCTCGACATTGTGACGTAACGTGTCCGTATCTAATGCAATTAAGGCATTGTATTACTCTCGGAACGTAAGGTTCCACTTGGTATATCATTCGTTCAATGATTACTTGTTTTGGAATCATTTGGCCTCTGAAAGACACCACTATCGTACCCGTCTCCACCAGTTGATCATTTTCTTTTCGCTTTATTCTTTTAACGTTTATTACTTTAAAATTGCCGTATCTTGGAACAATAATACCTTTTAATTCGTTTTCTGAAATATTTTTGTCTACCCCTTTAATTACCCCACTCTTCTGAGTAAAAAAATTTGGAATATATAAATCGTAATTTCTTTCTATTAACTTTTTACATTCCACTAAAATATTAGCGCTTTTATATGTGTTACATTCAATTTTAATTTTATTTTTTCCTATAATATTAATATTAACAATATTGTCTTTAATTGCAGGTACTGCACCTAAAATTAATCGTGCTGTCGCTATGCGATGCAATCGGCCAATGTTACCTTCCTTATTCTGCATAAAAACAAAATAAGGACCTTGGTCACCTTGACTGTATTTATTTTTTACCTCTGACATTATGGGCTGGCCTATATTAATATTTGTTTTATTGCTTACCTGATAATCCGGTAAAAAGTTTTTTGAATTTGTTATCGGTACCTGTTTTGATTGTGTATTAATATCAATATTTATAATTTCCTCAGACTGCTTTTGTTTTTCATTAACTTCATAATCCATATTACTAGCAATATCGTCAATCCTTCCTCTGTCAGGTGGATTTCCTCTACCATCTGAATTTAATTCCATTTTTCGGTAAAAACAACAACAACTCTATTAATTAGCACTTCGATCACACAGAGAACTATTCGCTTCCGCTGCTACAATCGAACTGATCAAAAATTATTGTTTCTTGTGTGAGTCCATTTCAAATAGGTAAAGAAATAATAAATAAGACCTACTTACAATCAATTTAATTTAACTATCAGACGACCGGTTTTGCTTTCTACAATATGCAAAGCATCTTCAGGTCTCGATACAAAGTTAAATAAATGCTGAAATAATAATAAACCCATATTAGGGTGTTATCTAATAAAGATAAACAAAGTTGATGTTATAAAATTACAATAATTATGCAAATATTACATGTCTGTGGTTTTTCAAAATGAATAAAAAGGTATAAAAAGTTTTAACAGAGAAGGTACGACCCACAAATTGTTATAAAGTAGTCTATTAGATTGTAATAAATTAATAAATAAGCAAATAAATAAAACATTACTTACATGCCTGTACTCTATTAATTGATGGATGGTAGAACATGGTTACAACTATCATGTATTGTTGAATGGAGAACTTAAGTCTGCTATTGTAGTTGTTTGACAATAAACGGGAAGTTCTTGAGGAGATAGATTTGAACCAATGAAGTAGAGATACGTGTAATGTGATGGTTTGTTAGATGAAAGTGATGTTATATACGATTGTATTATTTAAAAGTTATTTATACATATTCAAGAAATATATTTATGAAATGTGTGTTATTTATTGAGTATTTATTTTATGAATATGACAGTTTCATGACAATGAATAAGATTAGATGTACAAATTGTGTGGGTGTGCAATTCTTTCAACTTGGAATTATTAAATTTCTTTGATAAAGTTTAAACTTAAACTTTATCAAAGTTTACGTTTAAATTTAAACGTAACTCACTTGAGTATAGCGGAGTGTAATAAGTTGAGCTGCCATACCTGCAATGCATATTACATCAGTAGAACCTTTAGATCCTTCAACATTAGACTAAGAGAACATCTTAGATATATACAACGTCCAACATCAGGTCAATCACATTTCTCCCAACATATCCGTCGAACAAACAACATCTTTGATCCACAGACTTCACAATCCTTCATACTTGTAATAAAGGCTCCTTATTAAATAACCTGGAACATTTTGAAATTTTAAAATTATTAAAAAATCACACAGCAGTTACACTAAACGCACAATTGGAACTGGAATGCACACCAGTATACTCAGTATTAATATAAAATTTGATATAAATAATATTACCTGATCCTACTTCATTTTTTGTTTCTACAGCAAACCAATATACTTATAGAATATATAATGGAGGATGTATTTCAATTATTCGTATTGTTACATTTAAATTTAATTAATTAAAGATTGTTATAGTATACCAATATTAAACACATCAATTTACTTTTGATATCTTAATTAAAACAATTTAGAGACATTCATTAATATCAGCATATTTCATAAAACCAGATAACTTAACTTACAGTATTGAGAAATAGAAGACGAACTGTCACATTTTAACCTACATATGTCAAATTTACCTCTAAAATCTAATAGATAACATAAAAAAACTCATTGTCTCCAAGACTGAGATGTAGTGCATAAAAGTCCTTCCCCTTTTTAAATTAAATGTTTGTTTCGTCACTTCTAAGTGTTCTTTGTTCCTATGTGTTTAAGTTGTCCTTAATGGATTTAACTTTAATACTTTTATATACTTGACTTTGCAATAATCTACCATTTTGCGAATAGAACTTTATCAAAGAAATTTGATAATTACAAGTTGAAAGAATTGCACACACATAAATATATCTCTTGAATATGTATAAATAACTTTAAAATAATACAATGGTATATAACATCACTTTCATCTAACAAACAATCACATTACACCTATCTCTACTTCATTGGATCAAATCTATCTCCTCAAGAACTTCCCGTTTTTTGTCAAACAACTACAATAGCAGACTTAAGCTCTTCATTCAACAATACATGATAGTTTTAACCATGTTCTACCATCCATCAATTAATAGAGTACCGGCATGTAAGTAATGTTTTATTTATTTGCTCGTTTATTAATTTATTACAATCTAATAGACTATTTTATAACAATTTGTGGGTCTTATCTTGTCTGTTAAAACTTTTTATACCTTTTTATTCATTTTAAAAAACCACAGACATGTAATGTTGGCATAATTATTGAAATTTTATAACATCTACTTTGTTTATCTTTATTAGACAACACCCTAATATGGGTTTATTATTATTTCAGCATTTATTAAACTTTGTATTGAGATCTGAAGATGCTTTGCATATTGTAGAAAGCAAAACCGGTCGTCTGATAGTTAAATTAAATTGATTGTGAGTAGGTCTTATTTATTATTTCTTTACCTGTTTATCAAAAAATTTCCGGAATCTAAGGTGAAATACAGTTTTATTTGAAGTATTTTCATGAAAATTTTATATACTCTTTTGGTCATCCCCAAGTTGATATTCTGCTTATGAAGAACTTGGCCAGAAAGTTAAAATTACCATTCTCAACGACATTGCAAAACGAGTTGCTGTTGCAGAACTATTAGTTCACAAAAATAGGGCTAAGAAATTTTATAAAAAACTAGAGCAGATTAAAGAACTTTCTTCAGAGATGGACGAGATACTATGAATCTCAATGGATTATATGCAAAAATTGTGTACCTTTCTGAAAAATTATTTTAAAAATGAGGTTTCTGAAAATGTAAAAGAGATCCATATATTTTTAGATGGTTGTGAAGGCCAAAATAAGAACCACACGGTAATAAAATTCCTTCTAGCTCTTTCTTTGTCAGGAAAATTCAATCACATTTTTCATTATTTTCCAATCTCTACCGTGCGATAGAGACTTCGGAGTAGCAAAAGACTCATTCGCAAGCAGGACGAATTTTTCTTCCTGAAAAATATTACGAATTAATAAAAAAATCGTCAAAAAAGTCCCTTTTTTCTATAGAACTGGTAAAAAATTTTGGAAATAATTTTGGAATTTAAAAAATGGTGGCCCATGCATTATAAAAACACCATACTCTTCATTGACTTCTATGGGAAAAAACCAAACATGAGAAAACAACTTTTTAAATTTCTCAATATAATGAGTTCGACTATGACAACAAAAAACCGGAAATTGTTACAGTACGTCCATTTATTGATGGGCTTGTGTTTAATGAATTTTCCTTGGGAAAACCAGCTGGAGTTTGTCCTAGTTTGTCAACAGTGTCTGCTTAATCAGAAAAAATAATTGTTAATTCGAAAAAAAAAAAAACATCAAAAAACTTGTACAATATGCGCCAGAAGACAATTTTTTTTTATAATGAGCTGATTTTATGGGCTACCACTAATAGTGATGAACCACCAGAGGAAGATTACTAAAAGATTATTTCTTAACCATCTATTTTTTATTATAAAGCATATTTCTTTTAATATCTACAAACTTTTTTGTTTTTCTTAGTTTTATGTAATTTTAGAAAACTGCGGAACATAACCCTACTTTTTTAAGGCAAGTAATATCTTTTTTACGAGATATTTTTACGAGAGATTTTTATATGCGCTTCTCTGTAGAACATATCCCCCGCATAAAACCAGACCTTACTGTATAATGAAAGAAAAGAAGATGTTGAAACTATTTTTCTTGATTTCACTATAGTTTTTTATGTCGTATTTCATGTTTAATGTAATTTTTCATTAATCTAGTTTATTGAACCATTTGTTCTCTTATGTTTTGTCCAGTTTTGAAAGGATTATATCGTCTTTTAGTATGTTTTAATTATTCGAAATCTTTGAATTCGCTATTAATTTAATACGTTTCTCAAATAAATATTCAAATTAAATTTTTAACCAGATCAATTTACCACTTTTTTATTTTCCAGAATTCAAGAAATTAGACGAAAAGAACAAGAAAGAATATCGGAAGTAAAGAAAATAAAAGAGAGAGAGAACGGACTGAAAGCCAAAATAAAAAGAGTTAAACACAAGCTGCAAACTAACACGTGATTTTTATTATTATATTATTCTATATATTTTATTTATTTATTTCGAATATTTTATTTGTATCCGTTGTTACAATGTTCTAGAAGTTTACGAATAAGAAAAATAAATTTATTTTTATAAATTGTTGTTTTTTTAAATTTCTCACTCTTTAGAATGACGTCGTATCAAAAAAAATGACGGTTATGGTTCACTTTACTTTACTTCTCCTTAATTGAAGTTTCTGTAGTTGTGTTTCAAACAATGGACTACCTAAGTCTGACGTCACAATGCGCGCGGCTTAGAAGACCTTTCCAAACAAATCTCGTTTACATGTATTTCTCCCATAAGACGTTGGAAACACTGGAAACATAGAGTACTTTATGAGTAATACTCCACAACTTCTTTAATAAGAGGGTATTGCAAATTCGTTAAAGCAGCACATAACTGAAGTATCACGGTTATTTGAGACATGTAAAAATTTGGAATTTGCTGCAATAGGTATATTGTAACACTTTATTCTTCGAATCGCGCTCTTAACATGTATCCTTTCTTTTGCTATGGTTTCTGTTTCATACACCTCTACCTCTGTAAATTGGGGGCACTTAGAAAAGGAGCAATATTTAAGTGTACCCCTCAGGCAATAAATGTTTAATTAAGAAACCTTTATCCGCTAGAATAACATCACCATAGCTCATTAGGTCTAGAATGCCATAGTTTTTAACAATTTGTTTATTAGAAGTCGATCCAGGATAGGCACTGCTGACGTATGTGATGACTCCATTTAGTTCTACTCCTACTAGAACCTTCCAGGTGTTATGATGCTTATAAGAACTGTATGTTACTTTTTGTTTTTCCATCCTAGTGGTAGTAACTGAGTACACTTCTGTACAATTCTAAGATGATTCTACAATTTCTAAATGATGAAAATGCAGTTGGAAGAAATGCTTGATTTTTTTCTCGTGGGTATCTTTTCCATTAGTTGTTTAAATAAAATTTTATGCAACGCATATATCCAGGTCATCACAATATTTGTGACAGCGGCTGTACTGCAATTAAACCTTATTGACAAATCTTTATGTGATAAAATTAAACTTAATTTCATAAATGTCATTAGTAATTGGTCGATTTTGGGTAAAATTTTTTACTTGCTAGTTTGTGTAATAATTTAACTCAAAACCTTCCATAGTTTCAAATAATGTTAACTACAGAGCACTAGTTGATATTCCTGTGTACATTAAAATCTGAGCATTATTATTTTGATTTGTTCAAAACTAAACTGTCATAAAATATTTTTTAATTTTTCACTTAGTTAATTTACTTCTTCTTTAAGAAAGTAATTTTCCGCATATACAGATGCATTACTTCTTTCTGGTAAAGATACAGCCACTTTTTCGGTGTGCATTAATTTGGATGGACCTGGTTCGGGACTATTTGCTGATGGTCCAGCAGCTTCATCTACAATATCATCTAAGATGAATTGCCACTTCATCTAAGGAGTAATTTATTTGCTGAGCCTGTCTCTTGATTAAGTATTCCTATTGAAAAAAAGTATTCCTATTATATGAAGATATTCATTTAAATCCGATTTTAAGCTTACCGCTTTTCTGGAGTAGAGAACACAAACTTTCTCTTTATGTTATGTTTAAAAAATTGTAGGTCCATTTTTCCTATCTTGGTCCACAAAATGACAACTACAAACTTGCTCTATCTTGCCTCCTAAAAACAGACCAAAATAAAGTTATCAATATTAGCCTAACATACAAAAATTACATTTTAAAATATTGTAATGTCTTTATTAATTCTAATTTATTGTTCTTATTTTAATTTACTAAAACACGATAATTTGTATCAATGTATTAAACCACTATACAACAATTTATTTTCGACTAATAATTACATAATTTGTTTACACGTGCGTTACATTTTAAAATACCCGTTCGCGATCTTCTTTTCTGACTGACTCCCCACAATGAAAATCCCGTTATTTATATGAATTCATGTGTTAAAATGGAACATTGTCGAAGGTTCGATGGCTTTCTCGGCTAGACAGAGCGGCGAATGGTCTCAAACTGGTATTTTTATATCGGCTTGTCTCCAGATAGTTCGATTGTTGTTTTTATAGCGGTCGCGCCTAAAGTTTTTATTGACCCCTTCTGGAGAATTCCAATCGGTAGTATATGACCTAGAAAATACGTGAATGAATATTAGTAATAAATATGTCTACGGTTTTGGATCAGAATTTATCGTAACAATATCTTTAAAAATCATGACAGATACTTAGTATAAATCTGAAAAGGCAATCACAGAATATCTAAAATATAAGCAATATTAAAACAAACCAAGTACTTTTACCTCATAAGATTGATCCATTTCTGCTTCTGTGAAATTTTCTAAGAGAATACAAAAAACTTGCATGTTTTGCTCACTGTAATGTTTACAGTTTGGAGCAAAGCACATTTTATTAATAATGGAATGGATGTAATAATAAAATAACAGTCCATCACTTACAAAAAGAATATCTTCAGTACTTTTGGAATAAAATTATTAAGACCTTAAAAAAATAAAACAAATTTATATATTTTTTAACTTTGTAAATAAATCCAAAGATTTATTGATTAATTTTGAAATCACCTGCTAAAAACAACAACAAAATACCTTGAAAAAAGAAATAATTAAAGTTTTAATCCAACACAAATAACCTCAAAATATGAAGTTTGACAGTAAATATCTTAATACTTTGATACTCTTACCTCACAAATTCACGAACAACCTAAAAAACCAATCGTACAGAATGGTATAGAAGTGAAAATCCTTATTTATCCTTTTAAATATTAAAAAAATCAACGTTTCCAACGTCTAATGGGAGAAACACATGTAAACGAGATTTGTTTGGAAAGGTTTTCAAAATCCCAACCCATTGTGACATCTAGACTTAGGTAGTGCATTATATATTTTTATTCTGTTGTATATATTTATCTTTATGTTCTTATTTATTGATGCTCTTGAATCACCTAATAATTTCATTTGTTTCGCCTTGTAATCAACGTATAAACGTATCAATATAGTGCAACTAACGTATCAATATAGTTCAAACTGCTTATTGCTATTTAAACTTTTGGTTGGATTATTATTTATTTGGTTGGATTATTATTTATTTCCATTCCTTGATCCACAACAAATTCTACCTACTGCACGTTTTCTCATCAAAAAAAGTCATCGATAAAAAATAAAGTGGCAAACAGGGCACTCAAAAATATGCTCAGGAAAGCGATCGAATAAACCACTCAAATCATGAATAAGAGCCTTAGACTCAAACAATTTTCTAAGAAGAGATGGAAAGAAGCATAAGTGACAATGCTGTGAAATGCAGGAAAAAATTAAACATTCTGTCAAAACTATAGACAATCAGCCTACTATCATTATTAAACAAAATTGCAGTAAGAGTTATACTAGCCGGGTTAAAAGAAGTGTTTCTTCTTATTCTTTTTCTTTATAAGCAATTTTGCTTGTTTATTTCCAGATAAATACCTCTATGAAAAGCTGTCACTCCATCTTTTGCGAGGTCGTCCGATACATCTTCTGCCGATTGGTGACTTATCTCTTGTATTTTGATAACACAAGTCTCCTACTTTTGTTTAAATTACTTGTTCAATACTGATGCCATCAATTTCTATTTTACATCTGGTTGGTTCTTTGCTGACTACTATAGTTTTAGTTTTCTGAGATGAAATTGTCATATTATATTGTTTTGCTCGTATGTTAAATCTGTGAAAAAGTTTTGCGTCAATATTGCGTCGTCTGCGGAAGAAAGTATTTTTATTTCTTTGTTTCCCATTCTGTATCATCTTCCTCTGTTAACGCTTTTATTTTGAATCCCCAATGCTCAATGAATCCCCTTGTCTCATTCCGCTGCCTACTTATATAGGTTCTGTAAGTTGTTCATCTATTCTGACTTCCATTTTGTTGTTTTGCTAGATGTTTTTAATAGTTTTTATAATATTTAAAATAACTTTTCTATTATATAGAAGATAGATTACATCTTTAAGTGTTACTCTGTCAAACACTGACCAATTTTGTTCTATTCACAATAGCTTGACATAGATCACTTGACACTAGAAAAGTCCTTTTCCTAAGATTGGCCAGCTAAGATATGCGTCTACGTGCAGGGCCTTTCTTGCCCTCAATATTGCCTATTTACTACTACTCATAATGTGGCCAAAGGAAGCCACTTTTTTGTTCTTTACGGTGTTAATAATGTCTTTGTTCTGTTTTAACCTCTGGAGAATAGTTATCTTAGTTGTTAGTTACTTGTATCATATTGTGTAGTCCAAAGTCCAAAGATTTATCTGGGAAGATTTTCTTTTTAATTCCTTTTTCTTTCGATTGCGGAGGTACACTATCGTCTTTCTTTACTTCATTTCTTTTATTTTTTGTTTGTAGATACTTCTTTTTGGGTGATTCCGCTTTGGGTTCTAGAGATTATTTTTTATAGCTTTCTTTTTATTTATTTCTGTTATACTCTTTTCTTACTCATTTTTATTCACCGTTCAAAAACCCTATTCACGGAAATCATATCGGCTGTAAGAATAAATACCTTTTTCTGAAACTACTAGCAGATACCTCAGCGGTGGCAGCTTTTAGATAAGCTCTACCTAATAATTATCCGCCTATCTGGTAAACAGAAACAGCTATATCCAAATGATTTCTAAGCCACGTTACGAGTTCTTGAACGTAGAATGTGTTTAATGGATCCATAAACGCCAAATCTCGTGGCTGCATGTTACGTGTCGAGTATGGAGGAAGACTGGTAATTATCACACTATGTGATCTAGTGAGTTCGATGAGGTCTGAGCTGCGTTTATGAGAATAGCGTTTATCAAGTATCAGTATAACTGGGTCGTGGTTGCGTGTGTTTTTCATTTATCAAGATATATTATCCTGATGGATGACATCTTACTTTGGTGCCAGGTGGCACCAAAGTACATCACTACGTAGTTTTAAATTTATATTCTTGATATACACACCATCGTCACTAAAGAACCCCTTTTAGTAGAAGTAATTGCATTAACATGTCTTTTGCCTTTTACTGAAAGTACCTTGGTTTGTTTAAATTGCAACTTCGTGGTACCTGTTTAATTAGCATCATAAATCTTAGCCGGATGAGAACTAATTATCTGCAAAGCAGGCTCAAGAATATCAAAAATTTATCCATCATAATTTTCTTGAGTAAAATCTTTTACCCTTGTCGAAGACATACACTGTGGCTGTCCGACATTAAACTCTACCTCTGAAAAAATCTTCGAAGCCATTTCTTTTTAACTTCTTTTTCTAAGTGACAACGGGTGAAGCAAATTATTTCTTAAAGCGAACTGAAATGCGATTATTTATATATCTGATAAAGTCAAACCATAGAAACTCTTATCCATTTCTAAACAATAGTTAAATAATTTTTGTGGATTTTTGTTAATATCATAATTTAGATCATGAATGTGTTGCTTGTGTGAGTCCATTTCAAATAGGTAAAGAAATAATAAATAAGACTTACAATAAATTTAATTTAACTATCAGATGACCGGTTTCGCTTTCTACAATATACAAAGCATCCTCAGGTCTCGATACAAAGTTAAACAAATGATGCCGGTACTCTATTAATTGATGGATGGTAGAACATGGTTGAAACTACTATGTATTGTTGAATGGATGAGATGACTTATTGTGCCCAAGACTGAGATGTAGTGCATTAAAAAAACTCATTGTGCCCAAGACTGAGATGTAGTGCATTAAAGCCCTCCCCCCTTTTAAATTCAATGTTTGTTTCGTCCCTTGTAAGTGTTTTCTATTTTAGTGTGTTTAAATTGTCCTTAATTGTTTGTATTTTAATATTTTATTTACTTGACTTTTCAATAATTTACTAATTGTCAATAGAACTTTATCAAAGTAATTTGAAAACATTAACTTTGAAAGTCCTGGTGATGAGTCGTTTTTTTGACGTGAGGATTTTCGTTGGCCCAAATGTGCTCGTTATGATAGTTTGTTATTCCATTTCTACTAAAGGTAGCCTCTTCGGTAAACAAAATATTTCTAATAAAATTAACTTTATGAGTGTTTTCCATTACCAACCAATCGCAAAATCCAATTTTTTCAGGATAATCTTCAACCAATAACTCTTAAACCGTTGTTAAGTGATAGGGTTTAAGCAGCTGATCCTTTAAACGCCTCCAAACCCTTACGTGAGGACCATTTAGTTGAGCAGATATTACCCTTGTACTTGTTCCAGGTATTTCTTCAATGATTTCTAAAATGTCTTCATCAGTTGCATCCATCATTGGACGACCACTATTGCCAGCAACTTGAGGTTGGAATGTATCCGTTTCCGTAAACGACGATCAATGGTCAGAAATAATCGTCTCTCGGGTGTATTTCGATTGGGGTATTTTACTGCATAACGCCTTGCGGCTGCTGCACTATTTCCTTGAAGTTGAGCTACGATATTCCCGATAGTTTATTAAAATCATAATTTAATCTGATTCAATTTACCCAAAGTTAATTGCATATCTGCCATTTCCTGAAATGTGTAGGCCATTGTAATAATATTATAATATATAATAAATTTTTAATATTAACCTTCTTCTTCTTCTTCCAATGGCGCTACAGCCCAAATTGAGCCTTGGCCTCCTGTAACTTCTGCCTCCAACAAAGGCGATCCCGCGCCACTCGTCTCCAAGCCCTGATGTTCAATAAGTTGTGCGCATCTGCTGTGACTTCGTTCTCCCATCTATTACGTGGTCTTCCCTTTGGTCTTTTGCCCTGCATTTTACCATCCAAGGCCTTTCTCGGCAATCTGTCGGCATCCATCCGTACCACATGACCAGCCCATCGAAGCCTTTGTACTCTAGCGAACTCTGCAATAGGTGCTTCTTTGAACAGTTGGTAGAGTTCATAGTTATATCTAGATCTCCACATCCCATTTTGAGTGATGGGTCTAAAGATCTTCCTTAGGATTTTTCTCTCGAAAACGTCTAATCTTCGTTTAGTGCTTTCTGTCAAAACCCATGTCTCGCATCCATAGCATACTATCGGTCTGATGATAGTTTTATAGACCTTAAGTTTCGATTTTCGATGTACCGTCTTGGAGCGGAATATGTTAATCAGGGAAAAATAGGCTTTATTTCCCTTCATTATTCTCTTCTGAATTTCGGCCTCTTCTGTTCCCTCCATATTCATTTCGACTCCCAGATAAGTAAAACTCTTCACTGTTTCAATGTCATCCTCTACTTTGATTTGATTTCTTGTTCGCTTTGTCCGCGTCTGTGTTAGTATTTTTGTCTTCTGTGTATTTATTTCAAGTCCAATCTCCTTGGCCGTTTTTTTCAGCTGCGAATATGTTTCTGCTGCATCATCCACTCTGCGGGACATGAGGTTAATGTCATCCGCATATGCGTTATATTAACTTAATATTAACCTTATTCATACAATAAATGATAGCTTCAAATTATTGACTATTATTGATGGAACTGTTTGTAATTATTGTATCCGTAGAAACTAATTATAATTTTATGGCCAACTAGGAAAAAATTAGTTTTTCGAAAAAGTGATAGGAGGCAAAAAATAGTGTTAAACTAATGATGCCAGAAAATTTACATATTTGATTTGAACGTACAACAGTTTGGGGAGGATTTACGGCTACACACCCTCCTTAAAAATTTTCTGTGCGCTTAGATTTTTTTTGTTTTGTATGAAAAATTCTTTTACAGCAAGAAAGTAACTTGTCCATTTTTATTACAAAATATCAAGTAGTTTAAGAGATAAGGCAAGAAGACAAGTTTTATTTTGTAACTTCAAAGGACAAAAAACTTTTTTTGTGTACACTTTTGGTACGTTGGATTCAGTCAATTTATTTTTGTCCCCGGAATGCGTGATTTAATTTATGATATACTTTTTCAAACACCCTGTATAACATACTATTGGTATAATAATAGTTTCGTAGACCCAGATTTTTGATCTCCACTGTGTGTTTTTGGAAACACATGTGCGAGTAAAAAGTAAGCTTTTAAAGTTTCTTTGTATTCCTTTAGTACTCTTCTTTGAGTCGGTCAGATAGCTCAGCGGGCTGTGCGGCTGCCTCTCATTCGCTTCACTGTCGAATGGTTCAGTGGATGTGAAATCGAGCCCCAGCTCGGTGTACAGAAAACAAAAAGTCTAACGCAGCAGTTTAAAATTCTAGATGAATCTGCGGCTTAGACTAGAATATGCTGGGATCTGATCGGCCTATGGTAGAGCAGTACGGCAAGAGATAAGGGCTTGCGTCTCGGTGATACTCCTCCATAGATCCCTACCGGACGGGCGTAACGCCTAAAAAACCGGATATATATACTCTTCTTTGAATTTCTGGGATTTCTGTTCCATCCATGTTTAATGTAACTCAAAAATATGTGAGACTTTCGACAGTTTTAATATCGTCTTCTAATTCAACTGTGCGTCTGTGTTCTCTAGCTCTTGTCTGTGTTAGTATTTTGTGTTCTGAACATGTATTTCTAGTCCTGGCCTATCTTCTGCCCCTGTTTTTAATTGAGAATATATTTCTGCCTTCGCTGCTGTTCTACGTGAAATGATGCTATTGTCATCAATCTGTATTGATTTATTTGTTAGGAGATTACCTCTTCCTATATTCAGCTGTCTTATCATATATTCAAGAGTTAGGTTGAATAGTGTCGCTGTCAGCCCGTTGTACTCTGGCAGTTGCTGTTGTTAAATCCTTTGTTTCTTTTACTATTGCGATGTATTTTGGGGGATATTAAAGCTATACAATAATTGATATAATTTTTTTATTAATTAAGTTGTAGACCTGTTTGAAATCTATGAATATGTTGTGGACATGTATCTCGTATTCCCACGATTTGTTTAGAATTTGTTTCACCGTGTCACCGTGACCAATAGCTGCTAAGTTGTAGATCTTTCTTGTTGAAGACCGGTTTAATATTCCCCGACAATATTTTTAGTTAGTTGAACTCTTCTCTACTACAAGTACCCCAAAGCAAAGATATCCAAAGATATCCAAAGAATTTATCCTTAAACCAGTTTCTAAAATTCTTCAAACATCTTTTGCAAATTTTATGAGGAGTCCAAACTTGGTCTTGATCGCCAAATTTTAGTCCAAAGTCGGAAAAATACAGTTTCTTCATAACACCTGTTGTATTCAGTTAGTCATAATGTATATAACTAACTGAAGCAGTTCATATAGTTGATTTTTTTCCAAAACATACCCAAAAATTCCAGCTCCCCTGTTTTAATTATATAATTTATACTCTATACTAATAAATATTTTTCCAGTTTTGTGATTACATAATTTATTCACAAATTGTCAAAATAAAAATACATTATTGATAGTTTCAATTTATTTCTTCTTGCGACATTCTTTGGGTGGCAAATCGCATGGAAACGTACCATTCTCTATCTGATCTTCCCATCTTTTCACCCAGTCGTTAGGACAGATTGTTCGGTAGATTTTCCAAAACTGTTCGCAAGAGGTATTTCTAAAAGAAGTATTTTTAAATAAAGTATAATAGCTCAACTAAAATAAACTAACAGTATCTAATTATTGATAATTAGGTACTTAATTATAACATAAAAAAATACTTTTGAGTCAATAATTATGAACAAAATAAACAAATTTACCCTTTTCCCAGTAGCCTTTCACATTTATGGTAATCGACAAAAGCATCCATACACCAATTTGTACAATTACAGTTGTGATATCTGGCATCTTGTGCTACGGTTTTCAATTCGGAATCTGAACTCATAGTATGATTTGTAATTTAAACAAAAATTTAAAACTGCAATTTAAAATTAAATAGTTAAACTAAATTTTGACAGTATTTGACAGAATTCGTATTAAACTGTTTGTATACATCTCTAAATACTTGGTCAGGATTAGACTAGAGTGAATGTATCACCTACGAATGACATATCCACTATATTTTGGATAATTGGTAAAAGAAAAATGATATCTACAAATCCAATAAACATAATTATGTAAAAAAATCTGGGTTTGTAGCGTTTTTACCTTTATATTATAGAGACAAATTTTAAGTTATTATAATAAGAATTATAATGGGTCAAATATTTCTCTAACGTTGTTTTCAATCCATAGTTATTTACCGTTATTACTCACATTTTCAAAATTTATCTATACTTTTTTATGATATGCAATGTCTAGCTTATGGAATCTCCCAGTATCAAAAAGGTCAAAAATTTATCAAAGCCAGGCACCTTTGATAACACCAACAACATTTTTGGGAATATTCTTGGAGCCTGCGCATCCCAATGTCTCCAAAGAGATAAAATAAATATGTACCCTTATGAAAACATCAGTATCGCTGGGGTGTTCTGATCGACTAACTCTTCGCCAGTCAGAAAACAATTAGACTTGAGAATCGTAATAAGTTTGAAAGTTCTGGGGAGTTTCGTGTGTGAATTTTAAAGTGTTATACACAAAATGATAACGAATGTCTTTAGTTTTGTTCTGTTTTTATTTCTCTTAATCAGTGGTAAGTGTCACCAATATTGTTTATTTATCGTTACATAAAAATATATTGAAAATACAATGTTTTACTTGAAAAAACATATACTGTATATTTTGCCATCATAATACTGTTAGGCTTAAAAATTATCTCTTTGTGGCTTAAAAATTTATTTTTTAAAATAAAAATTTTCTTTTTGTTTGTTTTTTTTTTCATAGTTAATTTTCTTGCTTATTCTATACTCAAACTTAGTTTCATCCTTTATTTTTTGTTTTAGTACCAATTATTCCCTTAGAAAAATAAACTTTTCCTTGATACTATCCTAACGGTTTGACCCATTTTTCTTCTTATTCTCGTAATTCCTCTTACCCACTACGGTGTCGAATTTTTTGTTGTATTGGTGTCTATTCTCTTTTTTTTTATTTATATTTATTTCCCGATACCACTTTCATTTCTTTGGGTTAAACTGCTCTAATAATCTCTTTTGTTCAGTTTTTTTGTGGTTGGCATTTCTTCCGTTTCTTTACTGATTTAGTTTCTAATATTCTTTTTAGCCCTATCAATGAAAACCACACCCCAAAAAAATTAATTAAGGATGAAAATTTTAATCTAGATAGTTGAAAGTGTTTAGTATGAAAAAAATGTTCAGTGCGGGTTCCAAATTTGCTTGAAACGTATGCTTCGAAACCATGTGAAGTACATCTACATTTGGATTAATAATAAAAAAGTCTCAGTGATCTTCGAAGCTTTCTCTTGACTGCACTATACCTACGGTGACCATATATTTTTTTTCAAAAAAAAACTACAAAAATACAAAAATGTAGTAAAAACGCAAAATGAATCTTTTTAATGGACAATTAACTTTTTGGCATTGAAAATAAAGGATAAACTATACTAAACATTAAAACAATATGTTGCTAAACAATAAAAAATTATATCAATTAAACTAAACATTATATTAACTTTGAAAAACTAAAAATGCTGTAATTAAAAGTTTTTAGATGAGGGACCTGGAATAGCCTCATTTTCTTCCGGTTTTTTGTACCATTCATATTTTTCGAAACTTAATATTAATTTAAGAAGGTCCGGCTTCGACTGAAGCAAATGAAACATTTCATTACAAATCTCATCAAAATTTACATACACCTGCATCGCTGCCTTGAGAGTGGAAATGGACATTTGTGACTTTTCCGACGTCCAATAATTATTTATTACAGAAAATAAACGTTCGATAGCTGCACTATAATTATAGTACCCGGAAGACAAAAAAATAAATTCGCATAATAATTGTAAGTTTTTCAGTTTCAATTGATCTACACACTTAAAAACTTCAAGCCATCGATCCTGACTATTTTTTTCTTCTCTGTTCCACTCAGCAATTTTTTCACTTGTAGCCACGTGTTTCAAAATTCCCAGTTGGTCAAAGAGTTGATCTTCATTTTAAAATAGTTGCCTAAAATAGTTTAAATTCATTTAGATTTGTACTCCAGTTTTCTAGGTAGGTTACACATTTTGTGTAAAAATGTTTCACTTGTGCAGTGAAGTTTTCAGTAGCGGCTTGCCCGTCTTGAACTTTACCAAGACATTCTCTCACTTTAAGCAAAAATAATGCGTCCAAACGATGTTCTAACTTGTTTTTAAGATTAAAATATTCTTGGGCAGCTTCTGTCGCATTTGTTTTATCACTTTCTACTTTTAGAATGGCTTCATGAAACTGCGACGCCACATTATGAACGAGCCACATCCAAATCTCTGCAATGGGATCATTGAAAAATTGTCTCAAAATTGTGGGACAATTTTTAGATGATAGAAAATAGGCTTTAAGAGGTTCAAACATTTGTAAAATCCTTTCAATTGCAGGAATCATGTTTAGAAATCGTGTTTTTGAAAATGATAACATTTTTTTGTATTCATAATTAACCGATTCACAAAATGACTTTAGTTTATCTACTCTAACAGTGTAAATATAGAAATGCTTATAAATTTTTGCTGTTATTACTTCGATATCAATTGGTAAAACATCACTAGCACGTTGAATACAATTGTTGAATATGTGAGCAACACATCCGATTAAAAGTCTCCCGCAAGAATTGTTCAACTTGGTGAATAAATTATTAGTTCCCTGTCTTTTCATTCCACCAAAATTAGTGTTTGTGTTATCTGCTGTTAGTCCAACAATCTTATTAACAATATGATATTTTTGTAAAATATTTAATACATAATCATGTAATTGATCGGAGGTCTCACCTGGTAAATCCACTAACTGTAATAATTTTGTTTGAATGCCGGTTTTGCTGTCAAAGTATCTTACTAGTAAAGGTACTAGTTTTGTATCCTTGTGATTTGAAGAATCAATAATGATGCTAAGAAAATTAGCTTTCTGCATTAGCTTCACGATGGCTTCACTTTTAGTTCTAGCAGAACAAAATTTAGACTCAAATAAATTGGAATCAATTTGGAAGTACAATCTAATGATCTAAAACTGTGCATATGCCTAATGGTATGGTATGCAAATGTCCCTTCTTTGGCTGCAATTATCAAGTTCTCGGAACTGACACTTGCGGATTTAACAAATGAATGTAATTTATTGCTTCTAGTCACTGCATTAGCTGCCAATGTGTGTTTCTTCTTTCCCAAATGAGCTTTAATATTACTTCGTCCACTGTTGGAAATATCAACGTCACTTTTACATATTTCACAATAAATAATATGCAGCGATGACACAGATTTGACTTTCATAAAAAGGGTAATCCTTTTGTAGTTCTGCATTAAAATGACATTTTCGTTGAGGCGGAGACATAATTCTAAATTCTAAAACGTTTTACAAACAAACACTAATAACAGTACAGTAATACAATACGTAACACTTCAACGCTCAACGGTTAAACACGATGACGATGAACGACCAAATGGACCAATGGACCAAACCATAACTATTCGCTATTCGGCGACGGTCGAAGCCGAAGGTCATTATCTGAATGCTTGTTCAGATGCAACGTTGCACATTGGGCCAAAATTTAAGTAAAAGTGCCAAAGAGAATTAACTGAGGAGAGAGTCTAAGATAATTGTAAAAATAGTAATAAAAAATAAAAATATTCCTTCTTTTAGAAAAAATAAGTACATTCGCGTGTCCTTAGAAAGGGTTTAAAGTACATTAGGACAATATTTAAAAAAAAGTACTGTCCTACTTAAATAAGTACATATGGTCACCGTAACTATACCTCTATGCATAGAAATTTACAGGATTAAAATTATGTGAGAATGTGCCTGCTCACATTTAGCCTTCAGCTAAAGATATGTCCTAGAAAACAAAATAAAATGTATTATATATTTTTTTATGTGTATAAGTCTTAACTTTAATTTTAGAAGAAAAAACATCAGGTATTAAAAAAAAGAACTCGGAAAAAATTAATTGCTTGTTTGGTCAACTTCACCTCAAATGGGTTGAAATAAGGTGAAGTTAACTGCCTATGGCTTTACTTAATAAAAATGAGTTTAAGTTAACTGGGTGAAGATAAACACACTAAAATGATTTTAAATTATAATAAACATTTTATTAAAAACTTTTTATTACAAAAAGAAAGATACTTATTGAAAATTATATGCAGACAAGTCCAAAACAAAACAAAGCTCAAAAAACAAATTGTTGGCAGAATTAATACTTTTTTTTATGTTACTTAGAGGAACATTGTCTTCGTTAAGAATATCAGGCCATATTCATTTTCCCAATTTTGAGAGTTTTAGGGACAACATTAGCTTCATCATCTTTAATCGCTGAAATTTGTCCTACAAAATGTTTAATATTCTTGTTAGTCTGATATTCTATTACAACCCATGAATTTGCTACTTTATCATTAATGTGAAAGTATTCTGTTTTCTGAGCAATATTACTTTAAATTTCTGCAACTTCATGGTCTTCTTGGTCAAAATTTTCACTCACGCTCTCTGTTCCGGAACTTGCTTTATCGCTTTTTTCAAAAACTTTTTCTTTACAATTTATGTCTTGCTTGTAGAAGGCATGTTATCGTCACCAATTTCTTTTTATGGACTGTCTACATACGTAACTGATCTTCCAGGTATAATATTCAGCTTCTTTCGTTTTATTGTAGACTCACGTTTTTTGGGATTTCCCTGTTTTTTCAAATAGTCTAATAGTACCCCTGTTACATTAGCACTGTTTTGATGAGTGTTTTGCTTCTCACTAGGAATTTTTGCTAAAAGTTTATCTTTAGCCAAAGACAAATACCGCAAGCATAAAGCCCCTTTCTAGCGTTAACTTCAGCAGACGGCGTCATTTTCTTAAAACGATTTTTTAATAATATTTAAAAAAAAAAACTTTTCTCAACAGACGACGAGTTTTGATTGGATTTCTTTCACTCGTGCAGTAATTGTTTCCATTAATTCTTCGTTTGTCCAAAGAAGCTAATGTTGAAGGCTTGGCAAAGATGTGTTACATTTGGTGGAAGACAAATGAAAGCAACGTTATTATCTTTACAAATATTGAGCACTTCTTTTGTAAAATAACTCGAAAGATTGTCTCCTATTAAGACCTTCTTTCCATCAATTAACCAAGAATGAGGCAAAAATACAGTTTTAAACCAATTGGTAAAACAAATCGCATCAAACCATCCATCAATGACGTATAACATCATTGATGTTCTACGAAATGCCAATACGAAGTGCCAATTATGTCCTCTTTTGACGACAAGTTATCATTTACTCGAACTTGCATATACCTTTAACGTAAAAAGTTTTTTTATAAATGCAAGGTAGTGTCCTTTAATATCTAAATCGTACAGTAATCTAATGATACTGAATCGGGTAAAGAAGGTAGCGTCAGGCTGTGTCAAAGGCTCTTTGATTATCGAAGAATATTGCAATATATTTTGGATTAAAGGAGAGAGCTTCATGTACACTACTCTGGGTCTATATTATTGTCTAGGGTTGATCTATTTTCTCGGAAACCACTTTGTTCTGAAATAACAATATATCGATCTGTAACTGCTCAAAGGAGACGACGGTTGAT